ACTTCTGAAATCATTATTGCAGGAGTCGAACAGTTCCGAGGGCCCAACTCCTGCCGATCAAACTCATAAGAAACTGATTTACAACACCGCTGCTGATTTTCAGTGAGCGAGATTCTTTCCCAGTGTTGGGAATATTTGTGCCCATGATTGACAGCACCCCCGTCCCAGCACTAAGCCACTTGGAGCGCTGAGTGTTCATCAGATGGCTGTTGGCTGGTATGAAACAGAACAAAAGGAAATGACTCATCCCGAGATGTCTCTCATCCAGGCCACGGTGAGACAGTCTTCGGGTGATCCCTCTCCCTATCCCTGACCTCTTCACCTTGAAGACCACCGGTGCTCTGACCTTGAACTTTTCTTTTTCTGTTTATATTCATACCCTGAGTGATCTCATTCATGTCATTATTAAGTACTGACAACTCCCAAATTAGGTCCCCAGCCAGACCTCTTACTCAAGCTCCAATGCAAATATTTTTTGGTTCACGATTTATTTCCCCTCGAGGAGGTGCCTGCCCCACACCCCCACCTGGGCCTCGTACAGGCGTCTCAAATTCCGCACGTTCGACACGGAACACCTGCGCTTCCCTCTCACCCCTGCGACATCCACAGGCTTCCCTGGCGAGTTGAGGGCAGCTCCGTGTTTCAAGGGCTCAGGGCAAAATCCTTGGACTCGTCGTGACGGCTGTTTTTCTCATGTCTTGTGTGCCATCCATCCGCTAATTCTGCTGACTTCCCTCAAACTATAACCAGAGCCAGACCGCTCTATGCCACCCCCGCTGCCATCATCTTGTTCCGAGTCACCCTCATCTCCTGCTTGGGTTGTCACACTGGCTTTTTAACTGGCCAGTTCCCAGCCGGAAGGAAGAGTGATTTTGTTTTCTTGGGGGTGGGGGGGGCGGGGGAGGGTGTAAGTCAGATCGTGTCACTCCTCTGCTCAAAACCTTCCCCCCCAATTTGCAAGGGCCCCCCGCTCACTGACTTCGTCTCCCACAATCTCCCCACGTGCTCACCCCGCTCCAGCCTTCGGAGTTCCCTGCTTTCCCTAACCACGCCCCACACGCTCCTGCCTTGGGTCTTAGAGAGTCCCTGAGCCGGAACGCTTTTCGCCCAGATGCCCAAGGGGCTCATTCCCTGCCTCAAGAACCTGCTCAGATCCCAGCAAGGCCCTCCCCACCCCCGAGTCCACGCTGCAGTCCGTCCCCCCTTCTCTTCCCTTCCCTTCCCCCCCTGCCATTTTTCCCCATGGCCTCTTCCACCCTCGCATTGTTCATGTCCTCTACGATTTGCTTATTTATTTCAGGAACAGTCTGTCTCACACTAGAATGAAAGCTCCACGTGGGCAAGGATTTGTGGATTTGTTCACTGTGTGGATTTCACTGTGTGAAATCCCCAATACCTAGAATAAGACCTGACGGCATTTGTTGAATGAATAAACAACCACGTCATTCCCGTCCCGTGCGATTGTCTCTCTCCAGCAACCCAACATACCTGGTTGACCCAAGCGAGTGTCTCTGGTCCTTGGGTCTCCTTGGACAGACATCCACACCTACAGTCCCTTTCCAACTGTCCCTGTGTCATCCGCAGTCCTGTCCTAATTTATAGGCTGGGGGTGGGGAGCAGAAGAAAGGTTCAAGCTTTCTCTAGGCAGAACAGTCTCCCCTCCCTGAGGGGACACATGGGGCATTGTAAGTGGTTTCGTTGTTCTGGCCCTTCTGTCAGACAGCCTCCGTGGTGGCATCCAGAGGGTGACTTCACTCTGGAAACATCCCCCTCTGTGACCGGCAAGGAGTCGTCTCCTCGAAGGTCTGCACCAGTGGGGAGTTAGAGGCGGCAGGAGAGAAGGGGGTAGGGAAGAAAACAATGGGAGGAACAGGGTCTCAGGATCGTGGACGGCGCTGCGCTGTGGCCTGGAGCCCTCGGTGCAGAAACAGCACGTGGTCACGGTGTAAGAGGATGAGCCCCAGAGAGCGAACGTGCTGGCGAACAACGTCGCAGCCTGGCACTTGCCTGTGTCAGCGGAGGGGGGGCGGGGCATGTGTAGGCCACGCCCCTGGGCTGAAAAAGTCCCATTCCTCACACTGCCCGGTGGGGCCGTCTTCCTTCTTCTACTCCAAGATTCTAAATTCATTCTGCATTATTGCCCAGCAACCACGGTTACAAACTTTACATTTATTGAATCCAACACCGACGATCTGTGGTGCACTCTAACCTGATTTTAAGCTTCAGGAGGAGCAAGAGGAAATGCGGTCCCTCGGGGAATGCCAGGTTCCCTGATGCGCACGAACAGACAGCTGTATTCCGTGGGCACGTGAGACCATCCAGCTGCAGTGCAGAGAAACGCTCCTCCCACTCCCCTGGACTTCTGAGCACCGGCCACGAGCAGCCCCGAGCCCCGGACACTAAGGAAATCGGATTAAACTAAAGATGGAGACAGGGAGGGATTCTGCCTCTTGCCCTCTCCCTGTTCGTTACAAGTGGCTCATGAAGTGGAACTAAGTCCTAGAGTTCGACTGGTTCTCCCAGGTTGAAAGAGAAAAAAAAAATGGGGGTTAAAACAAGGCTTTAGTAGGGTGCAAAGAGTTAACGTCGGCGCCTGCTCCCAGATGGTTCTAATCACAGAGTGGATGGAGTTGTTTCCCTGACTTACAGTCCGCTTGGCAGCTGTAATACAGTTTCCAGTCCTGGCCCGCTGGGAGCATGTAAGGGAGCGGGAGTTTACACTTGACGTAGCAGAGGGCCGTCGCCTGTCGGAGGGACCAGGTGGATGCGGTTAGCTTTCCGCTCGAACAGGAAGGATTTCTGAACCACCTCATGGCAGGTCTTAGGGAGAAACCGTGGCCTAAAAGGGTTAGTGGTTGACTCATCTGGGGATGACAGCTGTGACGTGGAACAGGACCTGGATCCTGTTCTTTTCCACGACACACAAGAACACGGCACCCAGGAACCCTGACTTCTGGCAGATCCGACACTCTGGATTGAACAGAAACGGGGTGTTTGCTAGGAGGAAGGCGTAATTCTCACGGCTCTCCCGGTCCCGGCAGCCAACCTTTATGGGGTGGGGATGGGATTGAAAGGGAGGCCACGCAGGGCAGGGCGTGGCGCTGGAACTCTCGCTGAGCAGTGCAGGTGGGGGTGGGGGGCAGCAGCTGGATGACAGAGGGACAGAGGCAGAGTGCCTGGCCACTGTCATCTCCAGACCAGCAGAGCCTCCGCAGCTGAGGGCCAAGGAGCAGTAAGTGTGCTGTGCCAGGAGCAGGAGCTCTGGGACAGGCTCCCAGGCCCACAGGCGGAGGGAGCGCCCTCAGCCAGGGTTATACAGCACCTCCTATTCCTGGGCAGCCAAGCCCAGTGCACTTAGGGTCAGGGTCTCAGGGAGGACCAGCGGGAGAAGGGCTGGCCGCCCCCTCCCCTGGCTCCTCTCTCAGTGCCGAGAAATCAGGACAAAACCCAGTTAAACCGTTAGGACCAGAGAGAGCAAAAGAAGTCCCAAGGTGCCACTTGTCCTCTCACCCCATTCATCTGCTCGACCTTGACCTCTAGGTGAAAGGCATAGTTGTGTATTTTCCCCCATGGCTGTACTTCCTATGACCATTTATCATTCGCTCCCAGTCGAGTCAAGAGGCGGATGTTGACGTAATTGATAAGCTTATCCAGAGATGCTCTGAAGGGTGACCCCGGCGTGACCGACATTTCTAATCAAAGCCCTAACTCAGTGTGCGTGGTAGGCAATCACCTGTTTTATTTTCAAACGCGTCCACACTGCATTGAGCACCAACACAGATGTGGCCAAGAAACCCGCAGCCCGGTCCCAGCAGGCCGTGGGTCCAGTGTACGACTCGGGGTGGACCGCTGCTGCTCCCGGTGCGAGAAGGAAGGAAAGGGAAGATGCAATACGGACACGCAGTATATCCCCAGCTCCTGTTCGGGGGTCTGAGTGACAAGACGGAGGGACGGTGAGCCCCTGAAGCTCTTCTACAACCCCTTCTCTCACTCAGGTGCTGCTCAGCTACGGGACGTGGGCTGGGGGACCCCTGGACTTACGCAACAGTAGGACCCACTGTTTAAAACAACATCCACCCGTCACCGCAATAAAAAAAGGGGGGAAGGGGGAGCGGGCTGTGCTTTCCGACTGACAGTTTACTTTTTCCTGTCTTATGAACGGGCACAAGTTTCCAGGACATCATAACTGTGTGACCACATTCACAGACGTCTGCTCGGTATAAGGACCTTTTGTTTCGGGCGAAGCGCTCAGCTGACCTCTGGGGAGGAAACGGACCCACCGAGCCAGACGGTTCTAACACCGAACGGCAGGCTGGGCTCCTAGATTTGGATCTTTTCACTTACGAACCCACAGAAACACGTGGGCCATGCCATGAAGACTGTGGATATCTTCTGTTTTTCAATCCAGCTGCTTTTTTACCAAAGGAACATTTTGCGAGGTTATTTTTTGCTCCCCCCCAAGGCAGAAAGGAAATGCTAGAAAACTGCTAGGTTCTCCGTCCCACGCCAGAGGCACACAGAAGGTTTCTGTCTGTCTGGGGACCACCCAGGGTTCTCGGTTTCTGGAAGACTCTGGGAGCCTCTGCCGCCGCTGGGCCTCTCTCTAGTAGCCTCCTGGGCCATCATCAGGGCTGAGGTCCCCACTTTCCAGAACAAAGCTGCCAATCGGAAGGACTTGCATCACGGGATGAGAGGAGGCCACACACATAACTCCCCAACACCCGAGGGAAGCAGTGGGTCAAGGGGGGACACGCCTCTGGGCCATCAGATCATCCCTGGAAGCGAGGGGAAAGCAAGCCCACAGGCTGCTGCCCCGGGGCCTCGTGGTGAGAATTTACATATTACCCAAGTTGAGACTTTTCTACTTGATTATTCATACCGAATCAGTCTTTTCAAGTAGACCAAACTAGACTGGAATGTCTACATTTCAACCGGACATTGCAAAAGGCTCATGCCATTTGCTGACACAGCGCTAGACCCAAGGACTCCATCGGTGTAAATATTTCCAGATTCCTTTGCATTTGAACAATAACAGAGAGAACGGTCGGAACAAAGATGTGGTTACAGTTTCTAACATCGACCGAGTTAGGTCGTGTCTCTTAGTTACAAGTCAATTTACATAGTTGCGCTCCCTTTTCTATGCATTTTTTTTTAAATCACCTTTTTCCAAAATATGTCTTTTTAAAAAGTTTCTCAAAAGGCAAACGCTTAAAGGAGCGAGTCTTGGGAGTCATCGTTCCTTCAGTGACTTCTGCAAGCCGGGGGGGATCGCCGTGGATTTTGAGTGGGGCGGCCAGGCATGTCCACGGGTCATCTTCTCCCGCCTGCTCAGGGACGGGGGAGGTCGGAAACTCTCTTTTAAACGTTTTGGCAGAAGGGCGCACTTCTTCAGCGTTTTAGGGCCTGTGAAAACAAAGGGAAGGGTGACTGTCGCTTCTTTTACTGGCACCATGACTAGGAATCCTGTGAGTCATGTTCCTATTGTCCTTTTGGGGTGTCCAACCCAGAATGGCTGTGAATGCGGCCCAACACAGAACCGTAAATTCACTTAAAACCGGTTTTTTTTTGCTCATCGGTTTTCGTTTATGTTTGTGTATTTAATGTGTGGCCCGAGACAACTGTTCTCACAGTGTGGCCCAGAGATGCCAAAAGGTTGGACACCCCTGTTCCAGTCTGGAAACCTGATGCTCTTCTTTCCAGACCATTCCTCCCACGTGCCTGGTCCCTGCACAGCCACGGTCAGATTCCCAGGCATCTCCAAATACAGAAATCAGCAACTGCATGATTCCTGTCCCCCAGCCTCCCGGATCCATAGCATCTGTCCTGTCCCTGTCCCTATATGCCCGGTCATATATCATCTCTCCAACAGAAATAAGCAAAAGGTTTCCTCTGGCTATGTATTTGAATGTTCCAAATTCTTAGGGAACTTTAATGAAGAGATAGAATGCCTTCCTTTCACCAACAGCCAATGCCAGGAGTGCACTACCACGCATGTGGGTGTGTCCAGGGCAGGACGGACAGAGGGTCCCCACCCCAGTAAAATTCCTCACCAGCACGGAGCTCTGGCCCTGTAGCAGAGGGCCCTCTGGAGACCTCTCAGCTATGATGACTGGGAGCAGGGTGACTAGGTGTCAAGTTAAAACTGGGTTTGGGTTTTCTCTCAAGTCAGGTAGTTGGAAAATCAAGTCACGAGGTCCAATTTGGCCAGAGTTCCAGGGGAGTCAACAACAAGTCACCTCCAGCTCTGGCTGTCTTTTCTCGGAAATGACAAGGCCTACCAAGATGCACATTCTTCTGGGGCAACTTCAGACGTAGTACTTCTGGCGGTAGGGTCCTCTGACCAGGACCTTCATCTGAAGGTTCCCATTGGTTCAGAGGCCAGAGCGCTGTAAGTGACTGCCTCCACTGACCTATCACACGGGGGTAAGTCATTTACTTACGAGTACCTTCCCGACATTTTCCGCACGACCACGATGATGAGTCCGCCGACGAATCCAATGGCTAGTAAGACCCCCACTATGATTCCGATCAGGGTCCCTGTCGCCAAGCCATCTGAGTGAGAAGGAAAAACCATGAGCCCTCGACAAACAACACACCTGTGATACAACGGCCACCGCCCCGCTGTGGAGCACAAATACTGTTCCATGCTGTTTGTTCTGTATCCAGCTTTAGAAGAGTAGGAACTGCGGGCTGTTCTAATCCCATTTAATGATTCCTGGGTCTCAGGGTCAACGAAGCATACCACTGGCTTCACAGTTAATTACTGTGTGGCATTTGTGTACGGCTTTGAAATTAGACCCCTTTTCGCTCCTGGTTAACAATAAATGGTGATATGACACCATTCTCCACAGTTGCCACCAGGCAGACACACTCATTTGTGGTTTGCTCCTTCTCAAATACAGGCAATTCCCCTAAAAGAAGTTTGAAACCTCTTCTCGGAAGGCTCTCTATTCTGCGCTTGCTGGCTCCCATCCAGAAAAGAATGTAATTCATCAGGAAGATGAGGTTCAAAGAAACCTTCCTCTTCTTTTTTTTAAAACCCCCAAAGAATATTTTGATACCAAAATCTAGCTTACCTTTCTCCACTGTTGTCTGTGTGTCTTCTGTAGAGAGAGGTAATGATATAGAATTATTAGGATTTAATAACTATAATTTCACAATTGGCACAAGATGAATTTACCCTAAGTGGAAGGTGGCAAAATAAAAGCAAAGAAGATAATTTCTTAAATAAACTGGGTCAGGGAATTTTTAAGCAAGCTTTGACACGCTCCTGTCTTCAGAGCCATCATTATGGAATTTATGAATACTGGACACTTCCGGGTCCTCAGTACCTCCATGTATTTGACTCCTATCGACTTTCAAGGGCAGAGTCAAAGTAACTGGCCCACAGAGGTCTTAAATAAAGGGTCAAAACGTTTCAGAGCCTAGGGTAACATAAAGATCCAAGGCTGTTGATTCTTCGTTCAATGTCAAGATCATGCAACCCACTGTGATGAGGTCTATTTTGAAGAATTTTCATTTTGAGAGCAATATGCTTGGGTTTCGGAAGACGTGGGCAAGACTGGGACCCGTCTTGTGACATTACAGCAATTCCCTGCCTTTTCTTTGGTAGCACAATTGACATCTTACAGCTCAGTTTAGTGAGAGAATACAGCCTTTCTGTTGATGCCACTGTGATTTTAGGATTTCCAGCTGCAGCCAAACCTAGTTTAATACTTGCAATGTGAATATTTTTGTTTACCCATCACAAGGGTATCAGTTATTTCCTTACAAGTACCTTCCTGTAAGTAATACAATTGTGGGCTTCTTGCAGATAATTCTACACAATTCCTATGCAAAAAAATGAAGGTGTTTTGTTTCTCCCATCAACCTCTTTGTATACAGAGAGTCCTTAACTCCTCAGGGGTCGGGGCCCGGGGGCGATATTTGTGTGCGTAGTTTGCAGAGGGAGAAAAGTCAAGGCACCGTGGTTTGGTGATGCAGCAGAGAGACGTGAATCAGCCGGGTCTAACCAACAACCTTAGCTCACAACTTGCAAACTACAGATAGCCAACAGCTTCCCTAATCAAAGGTGAAATCAGTTGGCCGTCAGCAACAAGCTGCTTGCTTTTTTTTCTAATGGTTGGGTTTGAAAGAAGCCACCCACCTTGTACCAAGGCTGTCTTCGGAAAGATGCCTTTTCAGGATGGCCCCAGGGTAGGGGGCCCCAATCCCAGCTCTCCCTGTACAAGCAAGGCCTGTGGCTCTGATGCATCATCTACCCAGAGCTCAAGATGTGTCATCACCATAAAACAGTGGTCAGGAAAGGGCTGGACACGGGTCCTCCCGGTCACCCAGTCAACTCCCAAAATGTCATCCCTGGCTGCCAAACACCAGCAGAGACAGGTCAATCATTCGCTTAACGCAGTGGCTGCCACTTCCAGCCTCATAACATGCCATCATCACCATCAGTGACACCACTGGTTAGAAAATGCCAAAAATAAAGTTTATGGAAGTTTCCTCACTAAATTAGAGCTTATTAGTCCTGTACTCCCTAGCTCCCTCCCAGTTAATTACTTGACTGTGATCACAAAATGTGTCATATGTGGGAACATCAGTGACCTTGGGCGTTTCACAGGAAAGACATCTGCTGCCCTAATAAAACTAGCTCTTAAAAAGCCCCAGTGCTTACGATCACATTTTAACTCATGCGAAAACTTCCTGGGACACTGATATTTAAAGTGGGAATGCACTATAAATCACACATTTTGTAATGGGCTGGGGTAGGGGCCTGGACAGAAGAGTAACCATGAGTATTTTCCGGGCAATTGAGAATTTTCTTTTTTTAAGGATTAGGAGAGGTATCCTGGGATGACAGAAAGAATATTTGACTTGGAATTTTCTGTTTCCTTTTCTGTCAATTAGCTGTCAGCTCATGTTGCAAATGATCAGTTTGTCTCCCATAATTTAAGATTCTTCCCAATGACAAATGATATTGACGATACTTTTCTAGCTTAGCCCTTTTTGGTTTTCTTGGATGTTTGAATGTTAACCATTTCTTCAGCATCTTGGAGTAACCTTGAGGCTTTATTTTCACAGCACTTTTATGAAGCTCTTCTTTTCTATTGTGGTAAAATATAGATTACACAACATTTTCTATCTTCACCATTTTTGCGTACAATTCAACGGAAGAAAGTACGTTCATATTGTTTTGCCATCACCACCATCACCTGCCTGCAGGAGCTCCTTCCATCTCGCAAAACAGACATTATATACCCATGAAACCTTGACTCCCCACCTCCTCCACCCCCCAGCCCCAGGCGACCACCCTTCCACTTTCCATCCCTGTAACCTTGACTAGTCCCTGTGCCACATCTAAGTGGAATCACACGACATGTGTCTTTTGGTGACTGGCTTATTCCAGTTAGCATAATGTTCCAAGGTTTACCCATGTTGTACCACGTGTCAGAACTGTGGTACAGTTCTGTAAAAAGGAAGTGTCTTCCTTTTACAGGTGGAATAACATTCCATTGTATGTATTCTCCACATTTTGTTGATCTGTTCAACTGCTCATGACTTCCACGTTTTAGCTATTGTAAAGAATGCCACTTCTGGCTGGCATAGCTCAGTGGATTGAGCGTGGGCTGTGAACCAAAGCATCGCAGGTTCGATTCCCAGTCAGGCCACATGCCTGGGTTGCAGGCCATGGCCCCCAGCAACCACACATTGATGTTTCTCTCTCTCTCTCTTTCTCCCTCCCTTCCCTCTCTAAACATAAATAAATAAAATCTTTAAAAAAAACTCTGATTGTTTAAAAAAAGAATGTTGCTATGCACATGGGGGTACAAAAGAAAGCATTTTGTAAAAATCCTCAGGTGTATTATAGATTTTATAAAACCAGATTGGTGTGGGGGTCTGGAAATGTACATTGACAATAAAGAATAACTTTCTGGGTGTTCAGTCGTGCATTTGGCTTTAGAGGAGGTCTTTGGGTATACTTTCATTTAAAGCTAAAAATACCTGTCTATGATAGATAAGATGATTTTTATGAAATAACTCATTGTAGCTATTTCAGAGTTAGCTCCTTTTCTCTCCCACCCTATCTGCTACAAAATTAGAGCCTATTTTTTTAAGGATTTAATTTTTTAAGAAAGTTCTAGGAATAGGAAGCTATCTCTTTCCATTGCTGAGTCGTAGTGGCAATGACCTTTCCTCATGCATCGCAGTGATGGTCCAAACCTCATACTCATGGCAAAGACCCAAGGTCTCCTCCACAGCTTCCCTCCGAGGTGTTCCGTTCACATGACTGACTGTAGGTGCCAACTGTGCGTGACAAGTGTGACCCCAAATCCTGACCACACTGCTTTAGGAAACATCCTTGCTCCTGGGGTACAGACATAAACTCATTGTTCAATGGTAAATAGCAGTATACAATCTATTGAGATTTCCATAGGTTGGCTGAGTCTTATGCTCTTGGGTGAAAACACAAAGTTCTCAGTGTAGCAGTTTATCAGCTTAGGGTCAGGAACATGACACCAGACTTGCCTGTGTTGGGGCATTATCACCAGCTGTCATTCAAGGTAAAGAGCCATGTTCAGCAACCCAATAAATCAGATTTGCTTTAGTAACCTCATTCACCGAATCCTGAAACTACCCCATAATTCACAGTTCACTCGTGTATTCCAACATGTGCCCTATTGATTGTTACGTTTGTTCATGTTTTGGGGACTGTACTGGTCACGCAAAACAAGGTCAGTGCCCATCGGGGTGACCGGTGTCCTTACCCCCTGGGCGACTGGTGGCCACAGGCAAGGTGGTGGTGCTCCGGCTTTCTTCCTGGCCAGGGACCCCGCTGCCTAGAGTCGGCAGGTCCTCCGTGAGAAGGTCTGTGTTCTTCGTGTTTGTGGGCACCTGTTGGGGAAGTAAAGGAGGCAGGACAGAAATGGAACAGTGTTTTTACATACAGACACTGTCTCATGAGAGAAAAGAATGTAAGGGGGCATTCTTATATAAAATACATGACGATCTAAATGGGAAGTGGAAACAAGGAAAAAAACAAACAGAAGAGTGGGAACAGGAATACAACCAAGCCAACTCCATAAATGAGTGCCAAATGTTTACTTCTATGGGTCTTAATTCTTCAGAAAATATCGGATCTCTAAGCTTTAAATCTTTTTCTTCCTTGAATTGGAGTGGCACTTCCTCCCTGCAGCATGTTGGGGGGCACATATTATGTTGTTATCATCCTTCACTGCCCTCTCCCGCTCCCCAAGAGAGCTTACTATGTGACAGCCCCTTTAAACATCCCATTTACTCCGCACAAAAAAACCCTATGAAATAGATCCTACTAGTGCTACAGTATGGACAAGGCTTACAGAGATCAGAAAATAAATCCACACTCACATAGCCAAGGAGAGACAGAACAAGACTTGGAAGAGCTTCCGTTGACTCCAAAGTTTATGCCAACGCACAAAAGCATTCATTCAACAAATATGGTCATGAGCACAGTCAACAAAGGCAAAAATAGATAAATAGGACCATATCAAACTTAAAAACTTTGTGTATTGGAGAACCCAATCAACAAAGGAAAAAGGCAACCTGTGCAATAAACTATTTGCAAATCATATACTTGATAAAGGTATGAAGCGCTCCTGCAACTTGATAACAAAAAATAAATATCAAATAACCTGATTAAAAAATGGGGAAAATACTTAGACATTTATCCAAAGATAATACACAGTGGCCAACAAGCAGATGAAAAACTTCTTACTATCACTAATCATCAGAGGATTGCAAATCAATACCTCAGTAAGATTATTGCCTCATAACTGTTAGCATGGCTACTATCAAAAGAACAGAAAATAATGTGTGTGCAAGGTTGTGGAGAAATCGGAACATTTGTGCACTGTTGGTGTCGGTGGAAATGGTGCAGCCGCCAAGGAAAACAGGACAGAGTTTCCTCGAAAAAAATGAGAAACAGAGCTATCATCTGATCCAACAGCCCCACTTCTGGGTGTACACCCAAAAGAATCGAAAGTGAGGTCAGCCCTGGCTGGCATAGCTCAGTGAATTGAGCACGGGCCGCAAACCAAAGTGTCACAGGTTCGATTCCCAGTCAGGGCACATGCCTGGGTTGCAGGCCATGGCCCCCAGCAACCGCACATGGATGTTTCTCTCTCTCTCTCTTTCTCCCTCCCTTCCCTCTCTAAAAATAAAAATAAATAAAATCTTTAAAAAAAAAAAGAAAGTGAGGTTGGCAAGAGGTGTTCGTACACCATGTTCATAGCAGTACCATTCACAATAGCCAATAGCAACCCAAATGTTCATCAATGCTGAATGCATAAACAAAATGTGGTATATCCAGATAAAGGAATATTATTCAGCCATAAAAAAGGAAATTCTGACACATGCCACCACATGGATGAGCCTTCAGGACATTATGCTGAGTGAAATGAGCCAGTCACCAAAGACAAGCACCATGTGACTCCACTGATAGGCGGTGCTTAGAGGAGTCAAAACCATGGAGACAGAAAGTACGATGGAGGTTACCAGAGCCGGAGGGGGACGAAAAAGGAGAGCTATTGTCTGAGCTATTGCATAGTTTCTGATTTGTGAGATGAAGACATTCTGGAGATCTGTTGCACAAGGTGAATATACTTAACACTACTGACTTATAGGTACGCTTTAAAATGGTTCAGATGGTACATTTAATGTTACGTGTCTTTTAACACAATAAAAGATATGCTCATGAGTATCTCCTATGTGCTTAGCATGGTTCTCAGCCCTGGGGGTATGCCAAAACAGGGGCTGGCACGCTTTTCCGTAGAAGGCCAAATGGTAAGCATTTTCATTTTTGTAGACCACTTGGTCTCCGTTGCAACCAACTACTCAACTCTGCTCTTATAAGTAGGGAAGCAGCCTGAGATCATTCTCAACTGAACAGGACCTGCAGTGTTCCAATAAAACTTTATTTACAAAAGCCGGTGGTGGGCCAAACCTGGTGAATCATTTGCTGACCTCTGAGCTAGAGAGTAACTCCAGGGGGTGTCTCGGGAGGGAGGAATAGGGTTCCCTCAAAGGTCGAAGTGTGGCTTCTAGACCTCCTCAGTGTCTCCCAGAGCCTGGCATCTCATCTTAAGCACCCATGGTAGGTGCTTAAGACACCTCTGAACTGACCAAAATTCATCAGGTTGGGAATGTGTCCTTTGGGACTTCACACAGACCATACCAGCGTGCTCTGTTCATGGCTTAGAGTCTGTGGTTATTACCAGTCACAAGAAGACAAGAAACTGTGACTCCATGTCTAGAAACTTTCATAGCAATGCCAGTGTTGCAAGGTCCAAGACTTTCTTGTATTGAAAAGTAGGTTGTAACCCCTGGCTGGCATAGTTCAGTGGATTGAGTGCAGGCTGCGAACCAAAGTGTCACAGGTTCGATTCCCAGTCAGGGCACATGCCTGGGTTGCAGGCCATGGCCCCCAGCAACCGCACATGGATGTTTCTCTCTCTCTCTCTCTCTCTTTCTCCCTCCCTTCCCTCTCTAAAATAAATAAATAAATAAATAAATAAAATCTTCTAAAAAATTGCTCACTGAAAAAAAAAAAGAAAAGAAAAGTGGGCTGTAATATATCAAACAGCTACAAACCTACTTCCTTACCAGTTTGAGAAGACTGGTATATACTCTCAAATCACCTGTGATCAGCACACCCGCTACCTGCTAGCTGGATGAAACTGGGAGGTCCCTTTTGTTGCAAGCCACGTAACAATTCCTTCCTGTGGTGGCTCCTGTTGATTCTGTATACTTAAATATATAAATATAAATATATGTGTGTGTGTGTGCACGCACACACACATCCTTGCATGTGATTGCATGCCTGCAAACTGAAGTTTCCTCTTCCCAGGCCACTCACCTGAGCTGTGAAGCCAGCAGACTCGGAGGGGTCTCTACTGGCACCTGGAGTCACTGCATCATCTTCCACACCTGGGTTCACCGTGCCACCTTCCGCAGTTAAGGTGGTAATGTCATCCTCTGGCAGGACCGTGACGGCTACGAAAGAAAGACTGAGTCAGGGCTTACGGTGGAAGCCGTGCGGGCAGACCTAGAGGGCGGGCTACAACCAGATGATTTTTTTCCCATTTCTTCTGGGGATCTGTTGTTGTTATTTTTACCTTCCCTGCATACCACAAACCGTTCTCCGTGCCGTACCTCTGGCTCAGGGACGGCCTGGAGGTCTCCATTGCCAAGGAAAGGCGGGTGGAAATACACAAAGGCCAAGCAGCCAGCCCCTCCCCGGGATCCCACTGAAGCCCCCGGAGCAGAGGGATGCGCATCTTTCCCATTCAGTAACGAGTCGGATTTTCCCTGGTGCCACTCCGTGGGATGAATGAATGTTTTCGGGTTAGTAGAATACCACTTAGACCTGGAAAAATTCTGAATCAGAGTCACCTCGAAAGCGCTCTAACACCACTTTTGCAGGCTCTATCTCCAACCTGCCGAACCAGGATATGCAAAGGCAGGGTCCTCATCTTCGCCGCATCAAGCCTGCTCTCCGTTTAATTTCGAGGCTGCTGCCTACAGGAATGATTAGAAGCACTGGCTTTGACCGCTGCCCTCAGAGGTTACACTGAGTTCGACCTCTTATTTTACAGCTGGGTTAACGTCTACAGGGGAAAGTCAGTGATATACTTAAGGATGCCAGAGATCACTGAAAGACCTCTTTGTGCACTGAGAGGTTTACCAATAAGAGACCTTCCTGCCCCTGCCCCGGCCCCCCACCACGGGCTCCCGTGCATGAACACTGGATGAATGAGGAGCAGAGGGGGTGGGTAGGGTGGGGGGACAGCAGGACGAACAGGATGAATTCCACAGCTGGGCAGAGAACAGATCACAGCAGTGGCCTCTTCACCCTGTGTCGCCACGATCTGAACTAATCACCACCAAGCCGGAGCACCATCTCAACTCACCAAATAACCCTTCGGTTGTTAAAAATCTGACTCACTGGCCACAGGCTCTGGCCCCAGACACAGAGGGGCTCTGGAAATTCCATGACTAAGGGCAGTTGCAAAATAAGAGAGCACACGCATCCCAGGACCAGGAGGGAGGGTGCGCGCAGGGACTGCTTTGAGTGCGTGATTGAAGAGCGGAGTTCGCATTCAGGCAGTGCCCCAGTTAGCGAGCAGACTTCAGACACTGTATTCCTCTCGACGCTTCGCCAGCCCAGCCAAAGGCACTGCTGGTAAATATTTGATCACAACCCCTTTGCCGGTGCCCAGACGGAGAGAGCCTGCGGAGGGAATTCGTTGGTTCTCTTCGCATCTGGAGTCTTACTGCAGTGGCTTTGGATGGACCTCCTAAGTACGTGTGTTTATTTTTCATCTGGGTGGCAAAAGGTTTCCACCAGTTAGCACCAGCTGAATACCTCAGTGCATGCCCACGGTTAGCCTCCCCTCTGAGCCATCGGCTGCAGTGGGGGGGTGGGGGACAGGGTGGGGGTAGTCATTGACTCCCACTGGGATTTATGGCTGTGATGTAGGCAAATACTGAATGTCGTTTATTGAGCCCAAGGGGAAATATCCCTTTGCCTGACGAGTAGTCCTTATTTTAAACAAAAAACAAAAACAAAAAAAACCCTGAAGTATCCTATTTTCTTTTCTTTCTCTCCTGCTATGAACTCAGTTAACAAACCATCAACTTTAAAACTGTTTTCTGAAACTGTTCAGCGCAGTCACTTACTCTGGGGCATCCTCTAATTTTCAAAAACAAAAACAAACCACCCTTGTGGCTTTAACAAAAAAGTCACGTATTGAATGAAGTTGGCCAGAGTTCTCTCACAGAAAGTTCGGTTCATTGAAAGCGTGACGATAAAAATTCCTGCTGGTTCTTTTCTCGGCCGGCAGAGCCAAGCACTAAAACCGCTCTGAATACACAAAAGGCATTTTATGAATGACGCTTGTGATTAAGATGCATGTCCTTTGTCCCACTGCCCTGGCGTTCTCTTTGCTCCCTGGGAAAGCTGATCTTTAACGAGAGATCCTCAATTGTCTCTCCCCTTATTTTGGCTGATGGCTTGCTCGCCTGGGTGAAGGGCTCTCCCAGCCCAGCTGCCGAGTCTCCAGCCAGCGTTTGCCAGCCTCCTCCCTTGAATGGTGAAACTCAAACCATGCACTATGGATGCCTTGGGTCGCCTGTCCTTTCTTCTTTCTAACGCGTGTGCGCACGCAGGCAGCACACGCAGCTGTTCATGTAAATGTCGGGATGGACCTGCACCGACAGTGTCGGTCCAAAGCGGTGGGCAACTGTGCTCGAGTAGCACCGCTTCCTGTCACGCCCAGCCTCACCCCGAGGCGGCTCAGAACCAGTGGAAGTTTCCAAATTCAGTGGCAACCCATCCACTGACTTTGGAATTTTTTTAGCGGGGAGGTGTTATTCTTTGCAAAGCTAGGTCAAAGTTTATAGTACCTATGAGAAGATGTAGATAAATCCATTTTACCTTAGGGTTCTTCAATTTGAGAACAGATAAGAACTACTACAGAGGTGCTTATTGGTATGAAGGTGCTAATTATGAATCATTTCTATCTTGGCATTAAAGCCTACTATCTCTAAAGAAATTATTCTAATTGACATACATTTTAGGGATGGCATTTCTTTATAAATATTTCAGGATTTCAATGCAACCTACATCACGCTGTTATTGTCACTGTGTGTAACATCCCAAATTCTTTTTTTTTAATATTTTATTTATTTATTTTTAGAGAGGGAAGGGAGGGAGAAAGAGAGAGAGAAACATCAATGTGCAGTTGCTGGGGGCCGTGGCCTGCAACCCAGGCATGTGCCCTGACTGGGAATCGAACCTGCAACACTTTGGTTCACAGCCTGCGCTCAATCCACTGAGCTACGCCAGCCAGGGCTCCAAATTCTTGATACAAACCTTCGAGTAAGTGTTTTCAATCCTTCAGTTTTATTTACATTTCTTTGATTTGTAGTAGAGAGTTGTTTCATCTGTTTGTCGGCCATCAGGAATGTCTTCTTTTATGACCATTTTTCTCTGATGGTACTCATCGTTTTCAGAGTTTTATAGGTGTTTTTATAACCTTAAGAATACGGTCTCTGGAATAAATGCTGACACATTTGTTTTGCTGGTTGGCATCGGCACCCTCTCCTTTGTGACTGGTGAGTTTTGTCGCCCATCAGATTCATTAAGCTTGTTTCGTCCCTTTGATGGGACAACAACCAACCCTACCTTCAAGGTTATATATAAGTATTCACCTTACACTTAAATTTCTGTTTGTCTTACGTTGTGACATATGATGTAAAATGGGAATATGACTTGATTTCCACCTCCCAAAAGATTAGGCTGTCATTGCCACCACCCCTCTTCCCCCCACTGCTTCGGGACTAGCTCTGGTTGGGACAACGACTCCTTTCTAGCGGCTGCATCACGGTGGAGGGAGGAGCCTCTCAGCACACGGACCAGCTGACACGGCCCGAGACCTGCCGGCTGCCCCCTCTCCTACTGCCCTGCCTGCCAATTCTTCCCAGAACACATCCCCAAATCTGGGCTCCCCTCAGCACCGGCTACCCCTCCCTCCCTCCTCGCAGCAGCTGCCCACCGCCAGGTTAATTCCGTGCCAGAAATGTAGCCAGCACCAAACCGGGCCCAGACAGCGGGAGGATGGGCAGGCTGCTAGAACACACAGGCCCTGAGGTCTGTCCAAGTCGAAGGTTCTGCTGAACACGAGAGGCACGGCTTTGTAACAAGACCCTGCCCCCTCCCGTTGTTCAGCCATGTGGGGTCTACACAATGCCTTGTGGACGACACTTTCACAGCGGCTCCGTGCGCAGTTAGTTACACCGGCATTGTCGTCTCCACTTGTTGAACGAGGGAAGAGAGAGGTTGGTGCTCTCCTTGACCAGACTTCAGTCAGGCGCCTCCGAGCCCTGTTCTCCGTGAGGCTGTGACCTTGGGCGTCTGTGCTCATCCTTGAAGCAAAGTCCAGTTTCCGGGAGAACCCTGCTAAGTCAGTTTACAGAGACTCCCCCGCCCCTGATATCCGACCAAGTTCCCCACCCGCCTCCTTTGAGGTCGAAGTCCTTGGCCTGCCCCCAGCAAGGATGCCCCTCCTCGTGGTGACTCCCCACCCACCGATCCCCACCGCCCCCACGACGCTGCTCTGTGGCTGTAAGTCCCCAGCTCCTCTGTCGTGTTCAGAGCTGAGCCCTCTCTCTCTCTCAACGCCGAGACCCGTCTTGAATGAAGTGTCCCAACTGTGCTAACAGGTGTCAGCATAGCTTCTTCCTTAACAACATCGGAAGTGAAACGATTCGCCGAGTTTGCCTGGTTGGCGAGTGCTCACCCACGCAGACCCAGAGGCGTGCCCGGACCTTGCCGAAGGCAGGGAAGCCCACTCACTGCCCCCTGCCGGCTCCCCACAACCTCCCCTTGGGCCCCATCCTGCTCCTCACCCTCTGGCTGCCAGAAGCCACGGCTTCCCCTGGCGTCTCACCTCCCCTTAAGAAACCCCATCTTGTTAGAACTTCCAATCTGCATATGTCATGACCGCAATCTCAGTCTGCTCAAATCAGCCCCTTTCTGGGACGAAGGTTCCAGAAGTGGCAGCTCAGAAGGAAGGTGTGATTTGCTGTAAAAGGTGGTGGCTCTGTGAGTGGCAGCTCTCCTCTCGGCCCTACGAGTGCAGGCAGCAGCAACGGTCGAGGCTGGAACCATGCTGAGCTTCACCAGAACATCCCCAGGCGTTACTGTGTACCTACTGTGTGCGCTGGGCCCCTTTCCGGGCACTGGAGGCAGAGGAGTAAACAAGGCATGCTCTCCACTCTTGTGGATCTGGGTGTTGCTGGGGTAGGTAGATGGTGGGGTCATAACAAGCACATAAACCAGGAAAACGTTAAGACAGTGCTCCTCCATCCCCTTCAGATCTCTGCTCAAAGGACACTTTCGGGGACCCCTGCCCCCACCATGCCAGTGAAATCACTACCTGCCCCCCCTCCACTGATACACACTGGCCAGAGCACTTGCCACTCACTGTGCC